TGGCGAGAAGGCCCCGAAAATGTGAAAAACTGGAAAACGAGGTTCTGCCGCGACACTGCCTTTAAGTCTTTCTTTTGACCTTTACTGTATCCGAAATTTATCTATTTCTTGGTTCACTGAACGATTTTTCAGCACTGATTTATCTGTTGAACCTCCTGCTGATACTGAGCCGCTCAATGTGGTAGAAGTTGCTATGCGCTATCGTGAAAGAGTTGAAGCCGTTGTTGGTAGAAGCTACACTAAACGATTACGGTGTGCATCTAGTTAAAGATTGATTTCGGTACTAGTGATGTCTGCTAAAATATTTATTTTACCTCCATTTTAGGCACAAATTCTCACGTGGATCTCTTGCCAAACGCTCGTTCAGATATTTAGTGAAACCGAAGGTGTACACAGTGTCATAAGAGTTACGATATCTACGTTCGTTATATTGTATGAAAATGCTTTTTTTCTGCAAACCAATGTGCAGGATAACTCATATTGTTTTTGTTGCATAGAGGCCATATTGGTGGCCTAAGTATTTATCTTTGCTCAATAAATTGTACAGAAATAAGATTTGTACCTGTTGTTTTTGTTGAAATCTAGAGGATACCTAAGTTTCTGTCGATTTGTGCACTACTACGTAATATCATTGTTTCAACTTGTAATCGCTATTGGGCGATGGCCCGGCATTGATTCGGCAAAATGGACACTGTCAAATTTTGGTAGTTTCAGGTAGCAGACCACCCGAATACTTCATAGCGGGTGGAGGCACGTACACCTCAATTAGGCAACTCCGCGGGCAGCTGGTCCTTTCGTCCTACTATTGTGCGCCTGTGTTAGGACCAGAAGTCCGCGGAGGCGGTGCTCAGTTGAGGTGCGTTCCTCTAGCCCTTCGTAGCCCCAACGCCACTCTCCGATTCATTCGATAATTGTAAGTCTTGTAAAGAAACTTCAAAGCTCCACCAGCCCCGCGCACTTCCATCGAGTGGGCGTCATTGGTGGAGAAAGCGCTTTTCCGGGGCTTAGCAAATGAATTAAAGGGTGAGAGTGGGGCTACGCTGTACTTGAAGGATCCGCTACTTAAAGCAACCAAAATCGGACAGGGGATCCATCTTGCCGAACCACTGCCTGGAAGAACGTGACAGGGGTTGATTTGCCCCACAGGCAGCTTCTACTGGTAATACTGAATGATTCTAGTGCTATCTCAAGGAAATCTGTGGTTTTGTAAATAGTGTTACTGAATTCTAGAAAATCCATAGTCTATTCCACTCGAATGATTTTGCAAGCATGAAGCGAATTGAGTGGTATCTCAGGGGGTTAGAGATTACTTTGCAATTTCTATCATTTTCTTATTTTTACCTTCCTTGTATTTGCAATTCGAAGTAAGTATTTTGTATGAAGCACAGGTATGGAAATTCTTCTTTTTTTTTGTAGAATGTCTGAAGACGGGTATAACTCTTTCGATGACGACGTAGTGGTTACTAACCCAAGTTTACTGGAAACTTTGGAGGACTCGGAAGGCTCACTACCAGCTACACCTCCGCCAGGTATGAACAGTAGATGACTGTAGCAAAGAAGGGAACTTTTAATACTTGTAAAGCCCAAAAGATTATTTTCTATTTTAGCATCCATAGCAGTTGATAACACTCAAGAATTCGAGAGCGATGGTGATGGTGACGATGCTCCTCCTACGCCACCTCCAGGTATGTTGGGTTCTGTTCACGCTTTGATTCAGTAGAATAGGCGGCTGGAGGGGCTACCGCTCGCACCCGCGCCGCATCTGCGTCTCTCCC